CTCCCCAGACACTTCGGGCTTCTGACATCCTTCAACCCACGTGCTGAGGAAGGAATAATAGTTTTAGGAGGGGTGATTGAGCCAGGTTACCTTGAAGTGACTGGATTGCTTCTCCACAGAGGAGGTAAGAAAGTTCATGTGGTTCTCAGCCTGAGTCATGACCCCTTTAAAGGGGGGTCGAATGGCCCTTTCACAGGGGTCGCCTAAGACCTTCAGAAAACACAGATATTTACACTATGATTCATAACAGTAGCAAAATTACAACTATGAAGTAGCAATGAAAATAATTTTATGGTTGGGGTAGTCACTACAACATGAGGAATTATATTCAAGTGTTGCAGTATTAGGAAGGTTGATGACCACTGCTTTAGGGCATCTCTTGGTGCTACTATGCTCTGTGATGACAGTCAATGGGAAACTACAATAACCCAATCTGGGCTGGGTAACAGAGGGCACAGACCCCTGAGAGATGAAGGTGTGGGTCGCTCTTCCAGGAAAAGAGCCAAGACCTGCAGAGGGTGCAGGGAAAACAGAATGGGCAGCAGAGGAAGGTGGTTCTAAGTACCATTGAAGGCCACGTGACCATCGCAGAAACAATGGTTATAGCCGACCTGAGTGTGTCTGTCGTATTTTGTTAAGAATGTGTTTGTAGGGCTGGAGAGATGGCTCAGTGGTTGGGAGCATTGCCTGCTCTTCCAAAGGTCCTGAGTTCAATTCCCAGCATCCACATGGTGGCTCACAACCATCTGTAAGGAGGTCTGGCGCCCTCTTCTGGCCTTCAGGCATACAGACAGAATATTGTATACATAATAAATAAATAAATAAATATTAAAAAAAAGAATGTGTTTGTACTGATATTTGTGCTTGCTTTCTTCAGTTTCTGGTTTGTTTGTGTTTGTTTGTGAGACAGGGTTTCTCTGTGTAGTCTTCGTTAGTATTCAGGCATCTGTACTGGCCTGCCCTTGGGGGCCTGACGGGCTCTGTCCTCAGCTATAGCCACTAAGAACACCACCTGTATGCATTCACTACTTTCCCTTTTAAAAGGGCCCTGCCCACCTCCAATCTTTCTTTCTCTGTCTGTTTCTTTCTCTCTGCTTCTCTGCCTGTGTCTCTGTCTCTGTCTCTCACTGCCTCTCTCTTCTCTTCTGCTGCTCCTGTCCCCAGAGGCCCATCTCCCCACTCCCCTCCCCTCTTTTTACGTTCCGTTTCCCCTGATAAAAACCCCTCCAATGAGAACTCTGTCTCATAGTGTTTTTCTCTCACCAGCAGCTTTTTAAAAATTACAGCTGCCCTGAAACTTGCTCTGTGGACCAGGGTGGCCTCAAACTCAGATCCACCTGTCTCTGCCTCCCAAGTGCTGGGATTAAAGGCGTGCGCCACCATTCCCAGCTTTTGATTCTTTATCATGTGATGTAGCATCAATTAAGAGAATACCAATGGTTCTCACACTTAAGTTTGAGATATTAAAAGAATGCCTTTCAAGGGATGTTTTCACATATTCTAAATTTATAATGTGTTTGCAGCTGCACAAGGGATAGTTCTATCATGTTAGATGTGATTGTGACCGGTTTATTGTCTCCATTTGGAGAGTAGCCATGACATGATTGTGTAGCAAGTTGACAAAGGATGGACTTGTGATGGCTATTTTAGTCTAGTTTGACTAATCTGGCATTAACTAGTCCTCCCATGGATGGACACACCCGTGAGGGATTTTTGCTTAGTTTTAAGAGGGAAGATCCACGGATGATCCAGATGTTTTAGGTGGGAAGACACCTTTGCTGTTGTTTGTCTGTTTGTTTTCGAGACAGGGTTTCTCTGTGTAACAGCCCTGGCTGTTCTGGAACTCGCTCTGTAGACCAGACTGGTCTCGAATTCACGGAGATCTGCCTGCCTCTGCCTCCCGAGTGCTGGGATTAAAGTTGTGTGCCACCACAGTCTGGCCTGGAAGACCCACCTCTAATCTGGGCCACACCTCCTGCGGGAAGCTATATAAGGCTGTTGAGAAGGAAGCTTCAGTCTGCCTGCTTGCTCTCACCTTGCTACCCAGTCCATCTCTTCACTGACATTTCACTGAGATACTGGCCTGTACTGAAGACCAGCTGAGACATTCAAGCTCATGGACTGGACAATGCCTGATTCTTGGACCTTCCATTCATAGTCAGCCATTGTCGGATTAACTGGGCCACAGCCAACAGGTCATTCTAACAAATCCCCTTTCTGTATGTGGAGAGACTCATTCTGTAATCTTCATTATTTTAGGGAACCCTGACTATTTTACATACACTTAATACCTATGTCCTCTGTCGTCCAGTTGTGTGTGGTCGTGTCTTGTCGTAATCTGTAGTTCTGCAATGCTTGTTTCTGTTTTTCATCTTTGGTGAGGTAACTGTTCAAGTCTTTGGTCCAACTTTAAGTCAAGTTGCTTTCTTGTGTTGTAAAAGGTCTTTGTGTATTTTGAGCAATGGTTCTGTATCAACTGTCTTTGGCAAACATTTCAATGTGAATTTGTCTTCTTGTTCTTTGGGTGATTTCTTTAACATGTTAGTTGACCTGTTTACTTATTTTTTGTTCAGTTTTTTTTTCCCCCTAGCATCACTGTGGGTGGAACCTAGGGCCTCATGAAAGCTCGGCACGAGCTATCCCACCGACCTCCAGGTACAGCTCTTTTGTTTAGTATTTTTGCATCCATGTTCATAAAATCCACTGACTTTCTCTGAGTGTTGATGGCTGAGTTTAAGCTGGCTGAATAAAGCAACTTACAATTGTGTCCTTTCAACACTCTTAACATTTACATAAAATTGGTGTGATTTCTCTTTCCAAATATTAGAAAGAATTCTTGCCATCTTAGTCTAGAGTGTTCTTTATCTGTGACAAAATTTTAAAATACACACTCCATTTTTTAACAAATAGGACTGTCCAACAACTATCCCCCCCATAAACCGTCTTTTAAGTATTTGGTCTCTTATGTCTAAACTGTCAAATACATTTTAATAAAGCTGCAAAGGATGCCCACACCACCACTTCAACTCCTGTTGTTCCTTTTCTAACCCCGTGTTGGTAATTTTGGTTTTTATTTTTTTCTTTCTTAACGATCTGTACCTGAATCAATAACTTCTTTGGGAGTCACGGAGGGCAAGAGTGTCTGGTCATCCTTTTTCATTCATCTGGGACACACCAGAAAGAACTTTCCTTTTTTTTTTTTTTGAGCACCCCCATGGCTTCGTGTATTTTTTTTATTTATTTTAATTCATTTATTTCTTTTTATTTCATGTGTGTTAGTGTTTTGCCTGCATGTCTCTGTCAGGGTGTCAGATCCCCCTAGAACTGGAGTTATAGACAATTGTGAACTGCCATGTGGGTGCTGGAAATTGGACCCAGGTCCTCTGCGAGAACAGCCAGTACTTTCAACTGCTGAACCATCTCTCCTGTCCCAGATTCAGGTATTTTAAACATTCAAAGAACCATCACTTTGATATTTCATCTATTCCACAGAGCCTCTGTTTCTTTTACTAGTGAATAGCATTTAGAAACCCAGATCTGGTTGCTAGGCATGCTCATCACCATGGGATGTCCTTACATCTAGGCTTCCAGGGAACAAAGCTAAGAAAAAATGTTAAACTATTAACTTAAACCAATATGAGCAATTAAATCTAATCCCACAGTGTCTCTGCATGCACCCACTTTTCAGAGATGCATCCCCTCTCTCCAAGGAAGCTCTGGGTCCAGCTGATCTGCAGGCTCCTTCACTGGCTTTGTGCTTTCTGTTGGCTTGTTAAATATAGTAAGTTTGCAGGAGCAGCTAATTTTCTGCCCACCTCAGACTGGCTCCAAATGCTGTTTGCTTCACGCGGACCATAACCGCTCTGTCGGTTAGGTGTAGTGCCCCATTCTTAGGATACAGAAACTCAGTAATGACAGTGGCCACACACGAGTCCTAGGGAGGAAGCTCAGGAAGGGTGGTCTAGCTTCCTGCCTTTCAAGTGGGATGCTTCATCGGTGGAGGCAGGTGTCTCACCACTGCTGCCTGATGAAGGACAGCCATGACACTTCAGATCTACATGCTACTCAACCAGGCCAGCAATCAGAGCACAGTGGGTTATTCTCCAGATGCCACAACCCTCAGGGGGCACCTCAGCTCCCTCTCCCACACACACCCTCACACAGGTACTCCCCTGAATCACACAGACACACGTGCATACCAAGCATGTGCACATGTAGAGACATATATAGGCATACACATACACAAAGGAAAGTGCACACCACAAATGGCATGTGCATGTGCTCACATATGTGCACACACTCACACCACACTGACATATGTGCATACTAAACATGTGCCCATGTAGAGACATACACAAAGGAATGTGCACACCACAAATGGCATGTGTGTACGTGCACATAAGTGCACACACTCACACCACACTGACACATGTACATATTCACACATATGAACATATTTACACAGGTCCACAAGCCACAGAGACACAAATGCACACATTTACACTAGACACTCAAATATTACCACCACTAGCACACACAGAGGCATGCATGCTCTCATAACACACAGATACATGCTCACGCTCATATATGCACACATACACAAGATATTTCACATTCTCTCCAACACACACACACACACACACACACACACACACACACACACGACTCCAGGAAATCCACACCCTGTGGGGACCCTGTCAGTTTGTTGAACAACTAGACAGAATTCAAATACTGGGATTTTAATCAGAGGAATGAAGGAAGGAAGAAGCTGCTGGGTAGTGCTAGGGTTACCAGCAGGCCAGCTTCCTCTAGCAGTGCTCTCTGTGCAGTTGGGGGACTGTGTTCTGACTCACACGCATTCCTTGAGGAAGCTGTCTACATTATCTGTGGCGGCCCTGACAGAGATGAGGAACTCAAGATGAGAGCTTCCAGGTGTCTGCTGCCCTCATCTCGAGCTCCTAAGAGACCACTCAGCATCAGCTACTAAGACTTTATGGGATTTACTTGGCAATATACAAGATGTGGAAACCAGGCTGGCACCAGGAATCTATGAGGGCAAGCAGCTTCCTCTGGAGCTCTGGAAAGACAGCTACCTGGTGCTTAATAGTGTTCAGCTTCCTCTGGAGCAGCAGACTGGGTGCTCACCTGCAAGGAACCAAAGTCAAGAGCACAGCCAGTACCACATACCTGCCTCCCACCCTGAGCATAGAAACTGAAGGAGCCTGACCATGGCCGGCACAAGCAGCCCTCAAGCAGAAGCCAAGCAGCATCTTAGACAACGTACAGAGGTCGGTAGTCAACCCTTTCCAGCCCATACTCAGAGTCTGTGATCCTGCACGCGCACATCTGTACATGTGGCCTTGTCCCCAGGCAGGTGTTTCCAAAGCCTTGTCCCTGGTGGCCCCTAGGAGACTCCTCATTCCATAGCCAAGGTTAGAGACTTTGGGTGCCACCAACCGTGCTCCCCAAGCTGGGCAGAGGCAGGAACAAGGCAGCTGTTGTTCTGGCCGCAAAGAGACGTTGTCTTAAGGTCCGGAGAGCATGAACGGCACCTATAGGCTGCTGGAGAAGCCCTGAAGGAGCCTGGGGCTATAGCCTTGGAACACACCAGCCACTGCCCAAGAATGAGCCCTCAACAGACCCCTCCATGGGCTCTGCAGAAGAGTCCTGATTGCTCCCTCCAGCCCACAGACACGTTTGCTAGGCTACTCAGTTCAGATGGGACAGAACAGAGGACCAGTGCTCAGACTGAGCCCCAGCCTTTGGCCGTAGGTCCCACAGATTGGGTACATCCTGCTGGGGGCACTAAGCCCTCCCATAGCCCCACCATAGCCCTCCCATAGCCCTGCCATAGCCCTCCCATAGCCCTGCCATAGCCCTCCCATAGCCCTCCCATAGCCCCACCATAGCCCCACCATAGCCCTGCCATAGCCCTCCCATAGCCCTCCCATAGCCCTGCCATAGCCCTCCCATAGCCCTCCCATAGCCCCACCATAGCCCTCCCATAGCCCTCCATAGTCCTCCCATAGCCCTGCCATAGCCCTGTCATAGCCCTGCCATAGCCCTCCATAGCCCTCCATAGCCCTCCATAGCCCTGCCATAGCCCTCCCATAGCCCTCCATAGCCCTCCCATAGCCCTCCCATAGCCCTTCCATAGCCCTCCCATAGCCCTGCCATAGTCCTGCCATAGCCCTCCCATAGCCCTCCCATAGCCCTCCCATAGCCCTCCCATAGCCCTCCATAGCCTTGCCATAGCCCTCCCATAGCCCTGCCATAGCCCTCCCATAGCCCCGCCATAGCCCTGCCATAGCCCTGCCATAGCCCTCCATAGCCCTCCATAGCCCTGTCATAGCCCTGTCATAGCCCTGTCATAGCCCTGCCATAGCCCTGCCATAGCCCTCCATAGCCCTGTCATAGCCCTGTCATAGCCCTGTCATAGCCCTGTCATAGCCCTGCCATAGCCCTGTCATAGCCCTCCATAGCCCTGCCATAGCCCTGTCATAGCCCTCCATAGCCCTGCCATAGCCCTGTCATAGCCCTCCATAGCCCTCCCATAGCCCTCCATAGCCCTGCCATAGCCCTCCCATAGCCCTCCATAGCCCTCCCATAGCCCTGTCATAGCCCTCCATAGCCCTCCATAGCCCTGCCATAGCCCTGTCATAGCCCTCCATAGCCTTGCCATAGCCCTCCCATAGCCCTGCCATAGCCCTCCCATAGCCCCGCCATAGCCCTGCCATAGCCCTGCCATAGCCCTCCATAGCCCTCCATAGCCCTGTCATAGCCCTGTCATAGCCCTGTCATAGCCCTGCCATAGCCCTGCCATAGCCCTCCATAGCCCTGTCATAGCCCTGTCATAGCCCTGTCATAGCCCTGTCATAGCCCTGCCATAGCCCTGTCATAGCCCTCCATAGCCCTGCCATAGCCCTGTCATAGCCCTCCATAGCCCTGCCATAGCCCTGTCATAGCCCTCCATAGCCCTCCCATAGCCCTCCATAGCCCTGCCATAGCCCTCCCATAGCCCTCCATAGCCCTCCCATAGCCCTGTCATAGCCCTCCATAGCCCTCCATAGCCCTGTCATAGCCCTGTCATAGCCCTCCATAGCCCTGCCATAGCCCTCCCATAGCCCTCCATAGCCCTGCCATAGCCCTGTCATAGCCCTCCATAGCCCTCCCATAGCCCCGCCATAGCCCTGCCATAGCCCTCCCATAGCCCCGCCATAGCCCTCCCATAGCCCTGCCATAGCCCTGCCATAGCCCTGTCATAGCCCTCCATAGCCCTCCATAGCCCCACCATAGCCCTCCCATAGCCCTGCCATAGCCCTCCCATAGCCCTGTCATAGCCCTCCCATAGCCCTGTCATAGCCCTCCATAGCCCTCCATAGCCCCACCATAGCCCTCCCATAGCCCTGCCATAGCCCTCCCATAGCCCTGTCATAGCCCTCCATAGCCCTCCATAGCCCTGCCATAGCCCTCCCATAGCCCCGCCATAGCCCTCCCATAGCCCTGTCATAGCCCTGTCATAGCCCTGTCATAGCCCTGTCATAGCCCTGCCATAGCCCTCCCATAGCCCTCCATAGCCCTGCCATAGCCCTCCCATAGCCCTCCATAGCCCTGCCATAGCCCTCCATAGCCCTGCCATATCCCTCCCATAGCCCTCCCATAGCCCTCCCATAGCCCTCCATAGCCCTGCCATAGCCCTCCCATAGCCCTCCATAGCCCTGCCATAGCCCTCCCATAGCCCTCCCATAGCCCTGCCATAGCCCTCCCATAGCCCTCCATAGCCCTCCATAGCTTTGCCATAGCCCTCCATAGCCCTCCATAGCCCTGTCATAGCCCTGTCATAGCCCTGTCATAGCCCTCCCATAGCCCTCCATAGCCCTGTCATAGCCCTCCCATAGCCCTCCATAGCCCTCCATAGCCTTGCCATAGCCCTCCATAGCCCTCCATAGCCCTCCATAGCCCCGCCGTGTCCTCAGAGCTACTGTGGATTTGTGCTGGTGTGTACAATGTGTGTACAATGACTTTGAAGACTATGTCATTTGTCCCAAGGGCAGGAGTGGCCACAGCTCTGGACTGAGCAGCCCTCCGCCCAGCCCACCTTAGAGTTTCGGCAGCAACACCCCGTTTCCCCACAAGGTTCCTCTGTGTAGCCCTGACTGTCCTGAAACTGGAGCTGTAGACCAGGCTGACCTTGAACTCAGAGATCTGCCTGCCTCTGCCTCCCGAGTGCTGGGACTAAAGGGTTGAGCCACCACTGCCTGGCTAAGGTTCAGGCTCTAGGTGATGTGGAACAAAGCACTAGCTCTGCTGTGGCTGGTTGGGCTTTCCCTACAACAGGGAGGCAGCTCAGTGGCCTCTGCACATTATGCGAAAGCCTCCTGCTCACCCAGTGAGCAGGAACTCCATGACCTCCTCTTAGGCCCTGCCCTCAAGGCGCTCCTGTGCTGGGTCTTGAAGGAAGCCAGAGTTTGGTGCTGACAGAGTCTCCCCAGCCCCCACCAAGCCCCGTTTCTGGAGACCTGGGCTTTCTCCAAGTCTAAACCTAAATGATTTGCATGAGAAAGACGTTTACCTTTTCAGCATCCAGCTCAGGCTGCGGCTTCAACTTCTTGCCTAGCACAATTGCCTGGCAACACTGAGAGAGTGATTACAAGTGTCTGGAGGGGGGCGCAGTGCCTCAGAGGGGGTCTTACCCTATGTGCTGACACTGGCCACCACAGACATAGTCAAGGGTCTTCTTATGTCCAGCAGTTGCTGCTGGGCTGAGGCACTGGGAACCTTGTGTTTCAAAGCAGGAAGCTCACGACACCAACCCAGTCCCTTGGGGTGGAACAGACAACAGGGAGACCTCACCCATCTATCTGATTCCCCAGACTTCTACTTGGGGCTTGCAAAGGTCAGGCAGTTGGGGCAAGAGCCCCACAGTGACCTATGCACAGTTGCGTCATCTCTCCCAGGAGCACCCACAGGCCCAGAAGAGCAGCATAGGCAGTCCTGGGTACATGCCACAGAGGGGCCAGGGTGTACCACATTCCTTGGAGGTTCAGGGGTGTAGGTGCACATCAGCTTCTTGGGGTCTTAGTCCCTCTTAGTCTTAGTCTAAAGAGACTCAGTGTCCCCTACACACACACACACACACACACACACACACACACACACACACACCCCAAGACCAGTCCCTGTTGGGGAGTGAGAGAGTTTGTAAAACACAAAGGCTGTGGTCAGATCTGCCCCAGGCTGTCATGGGTACCTGGGATGACCAAACCAACTGCTTTGGAGATAATGGGCTGTCACAGCCTGGGAAGCATCTGGAGGGGAGTGGGTGTAGCTGTGAGGCGATTTCCCCAAACCTGCTGTGTTGCTGAGACCTTCCCACCACTGGCCAGAGCACACGTTGGCCCTGAGTACCAGCACGTACCGTAGCCTGGGATGCTATTAATAATTTCCATATATCGAGCTCCCATTATGAGCAAAAAATAACCAGCAAGAGCAGCGGCAAAGCTATCTGGCACCCCACCCCCAAGGCTCAGAGAGCCCAAAATAGCGTCCTGGGAAAGGCTTAGCGGCATGTAGCCCAAGGGGTTCGGGCTGGGCTTTCCCTGTGCTCTGACCCAGTGCCTCCATGGCTGGCTCTTGTCCAGGGGGCTTGGCCTCACCAGGCCCCAGGGGCCACAGGGCGTGGGATGGTCTCAGGGCAGGGGGAAGGTATGCATGGTTAAAGGAAGAATTCAGGACATGAGGATGATCTTCAGGACCTGGAGAGGCTAGGGGAGGAGTTAAGGGGTCACTACACCTACAGCTTCACGTGAGGGCCTCTGTATCATCTGGACCACAGATCCTCCAGAAACTGTAGGATCCCAAGGAAATCAGAGATGCCCCATCATGTTCCCATCATGACCTCTCAGAATCCCCTAAAACCCCTTCCCCTATCTCCATGAAGGACAGGGGGAGCCAAGGATTAGGCTGTTCTCTTCCGCTTGTGGGTTCAGGCTCTCTGCCAGTGACTTGGGGAGAGGGGGTTCTGGACGTGAAAGAGAGGGACAGTGGGTGAAGGGTCTGGGGGTGCCCACAACATCTACTGCACTGTTACTGTCCTAGCAACATTCAGGATGATCTGTCTTCTCCAGGCATGGCCCTTAATGGGACCCCAAACCCCTGACTGGGAGGTTGGCCCTAGGGTGGGCTCTGCATCTTAGGTGTGTAGGCTGAAGCCTCATTTGTCACATAGACTGGGACATGTTTGGCCAGCAGCACCCAGGGGGGTTGTTTGAGGTGCCCCGTTATTCTTTCTATATGGGGTCACTGAGAGCGGGAGGACAGCCAGGCTAAGATGGTTTTACGTATGCCAGGCGATATCTCTGCATGCACCTAGGCTGCCCTCTGGTGGCCAGGTGGCCCTGGTGTGTGGCCGGCATTCCTTAGGTCTCAGGCCTCCTTGTCCATCCATAGTGTATATCTGTGGTGGTAGTGAGGCATTTGGGAGGAGGGTTTTTAAAATTAATTTTTATTTTTTTGCAGAGACTAAGACAAGGGAGGAGCCTTTCCAGTCCTATCCAGCTACTGCCAGGTGCCCTTGCTGACTGGGAGTGGGTGGAGGCAGCAGAACCCAGAGCCACCTCCTCCAGGAAGCCCCCTGGCTTCGGCCTAACTTGAGTACCAGGGTTCTTTGTGGCCTATTATTGTGGCTAGACCAGGCTAGCATGGGCCTATGGCCATTTGTGCTGAATCCTCTCTCAAGTCATGCTAGAACAAATGGCTCTTGGTCAGGTGGGTGACTGGGCAGGCCCAGGCAGGCAGGAAGATCGCCTGCCTGTCCAGTGAGAAGGTACGGTAGAAACCGTCAAGGGCTTGATGCTAGTTCCACAGGAGGAAGAGGCTGGGACTAGGCTGGGGACAGATGGAGGTAACAGGACCCTTACCTCTGCTACCCAGAGGGACACTCAGTCAAGAAAACCCAGAGGGGCCAGGATGGTAGCTTCTGGAAGTATCCTGGCTCCCCTGCCCCCGCCCCCCACTCTGAACGGCAGGAGGGCTGGGCAGGTGCCCAGGCTGGCTGAGGCCCAGACTGCATGGCCTAGGACCCCAGTGCCAGCCTAGCCTCCCACCTCTATGCCGGCCCCAAGCCAAATGCTTTTTTTTTTTTTTTTTTTTTGCAAAGCTATCTTTTTACCTTGATAAGCTGTTTTAAAAATGTAAATAAAATAACTCAGCGGACAAAAGCAGGCATTGATTCTGCCCAGAGCCAGCCGCTGCCCTCGACATGAAATATCGCAGCACATTGAGTCGTGAGTCCCCGCTAATCCGGGCAGACAGGCCTGAATGGGGCCCCTTTGGACGGGCGCGGCGGTGGGCAGTGGAGCATGCACCGCCTGCTGGGCGGCCCTGCTCCTGGACAATGGCTTTTCTTCCCCGAAGGGGCCTGTGCGGGACAAGAGCCCCCTTTGTGTGGGATGCCTGTCTTGGAGAGCCAGAGGAGCACATTCAACAGCCCCAGACAGTCTTTGAAAAGCTGGAGTGTAACAGAAGACACCCGAAACACTAGCTTGCCTTCTGCCTCCCTGCACTCTCCCCAGGCACAGCCGCCATTCAGCCTCAAGAATGGCCTCAGGGGGCTCCCAACCCCACATTGTTCCTGGGTGTGTGGCCATCTTGGTTCCTCAGCGCCCTCCACTACTTGTGAGAGGCAGGTGTGACAGGAAATGAAGCCATTGTGGGCCGTGGTGCTGCTGACACACGGACTACCTCCCAGAGCCAACCAAGGTCTCCAAGGCCCAGGTGGCTCCTGGTGCCTAACATCTAAATCACAACTGTAGGAGTGGTGACCCCAGAGCGCGGTCCCTGAAGTGTGCCCATCTTTGAGTCTCCACAGCGACAGCTTGGAAGTGATGATGCCTGCAATGGTGGCCTCCTAAAATGATGACATCACTCAGAACAGCAGGCACACCTGGGCCAGACCCCGCTGGAGGCCCCTTGAGCCACCCCTAAGCTGGGATCTGTACCAGATGCTACCAGAGCCATAGCATCAACCAGAAGCCTCTCTCTGTTTCCATGAGCCTCATGAAACCTGGTCACAGCCTGGACCTCCTGGGCCTGGGCCTCTGAATGTGGAACTTTAGGACTGGTGTCCCTCTCAGAACCTCCTGGGCTCACACCAGAGACAGCAGCACTGACAAAGGTGACCCAGAACCCACAATGCCCACAGTCCACAAGTTCTCCCCCAGAAACTGCTGCCCCAGGGATGACAGGATGGAACACACTGGGTAGTCTCGGCCCTTCAAGTGTTTCTGTCTGGGCTGCCATGCTCGCTCAGGCTCTGCCTCGCACACACAAACAGATGGATTAATCAATTGACCAAAGGGCAAAGGAGAGGAGAGTGGCATGCCAGCTCAGGCAGATAGGTTTGTCCCGTGTCACACGTGCTCCTGATGGGACTGACTGGTAAGGCTGGACCGTCAGAGCGTGTGGGGGAGTGCTAGTAGGCAGCCTCAGAAGGCTCACCCCTGGGTCAGCAATGAGCAGGGGTCGGGTGGTAATCCCGGGAGGTGAGGGATCTACACCTTGATGCCTTCTCTCGGATGAAGTAGTATAAGAGGCTGCTGGGGCCCAGTCCCTGAAACCTCCATCAATGGAGGCCCATAACTCCATTCAGCGCTATAGCGGGGCTACAAACAGCCTCCATCTGGCTTCTGCCGCCTCGTGAACACGTGCCCCAAGAGGTAGAAGATAATCCCAGCCCGTTTCTCTGAAGGCCGCGGGAGGTAGAAGGGTCACTCACGTCTGCCATTCACCTCTTTGAATTTGCCCTCATGGTGGAGATGGTGGGATATGAGAAGGCGAGAGAGCCTGTCTGTGTCCTGCAGCCATGAGATACTGGCCAACGACTCCACCAGCCCGCGGGGAGGCGCGAGGTGGGGGGGGGAGCTCTGGCTGAAGACCTTGACTGCAATTGGGTCAGCGCTGAGCTGTGCGGGGATACCCAAAACCCACGGTCTGGAGGCCATCAGGACGCGGAACTTAGCTGGGGAAAGGCTTGGAGATTGGGGCAGGCCTTGGCTGAGAGATCAGAACCTCTGGCCTGAACCAATAGGGAGAAGGTGATGGGAAGGTGAGAGGTTTGAGACCTGTCTACACAGCTCCCAGGAGGCTGAGGTCAAGCTCCCATCCGCTCTGAGCAATCATGGTGGACTACAGAGGTCTGGTGGACTACATAGGTCTTTTGGTCTGGGCAAGGAGCCCAGAACACGGGGGGGAATGGTACGGGGCACTGACTCCCTTTCTTCCCTGTGCGGCTGTGGGTGTAGCTGTGTCTGCAGCCGGCGCTGCAGCTCATGGGCCACTCAGGCCTCCAGGGAGAGCATGTCCAGCGGCCTGGCTGGAGGGTCATCCAGGGCAGCTAACTCCTGCTGGGCTTCCTCCCGGAGCTGCAGAATCACAAAACCTCATTATCACGTCGTCCACTCCCCAGAGGCCCCTTGCAGCCTTCCCCGCTTGCACAGAGGTTTTAAAAATTAATCTATTCAGAAGGTAACTGTCGCTATTCAGCCACCATCCATGCCTCCCCGTGACTTTTCATGCCGCTGAGATTCCATTCTGCTCCGCTGAGTCCCAAGGCCGTGGGCCCTGGTCATTGTCCACACTAATTATCCCATAAAGGCAGGAGCTTGTTCTAGGCCAGACAAAGGACTGCACTTGTCTAAGGGACAGGGATGGTCACAGACTCATAAATCACCATGCGCCGGCTGGCCGTACCTGGATCAGGAGAGAGCAAAGGAAACATCAGAACCGGAGTTGACGCTGCCTGTCATTGACCTAAGGGCTTCACTGCCGATTCGGGAACAGACTCAGGAGCTGAAACAAGAGTGACTAGGTATCCCCAGGATCCCTGGCTTCCATTTGCATATAAGGACTAACAAGGGCTTAAAGCGGCTGCCAGTGTGGTCCTCTGCAGCAGGGTCTATGCAGCCAGCTGGCATTGTACAGACATCTTGGCTGTACCTTATCGCTGTGGACGTCCACTGCCAAGATTATTCTAAGCCATGACAGCTTCTGGTGGATCATTTCTCAGAACTGCAAGCTATGTGGATGTAGACATATTCACAGACACAGCGCTGTTCTATGCCCCACCAGAAACTCAAGGCAGCTCCACAGGATGTAAGCGGGGGTGTTTCTACAGTGCATGAGAATTTGCTTGTCAGGCCCAGGGAGGATGTCAATGCTTCCAAGATAGGAGCAGCGGTTGTTTGTTCCTCTTGGAGCAGCAGCAGAGGGCATACTGCAGGCCAGCTCTGAGGGCAACTGCAGGGACCTGCATGCTGCAGCCCAGCTCTGAGACCAGCAATATGGACCTGCATGCTGCAGCCTAGCTCTGAGACCAGCAGTATGGACCTGCATGCTGCAGCCTAGCTCTGAGACCAGCAGTATGGACCTGCATGCTGCAGCCCATCTCTGAGACCAGCAGCAGGGACCTGCATGCTGCAGCCCATCTCTGAGACCAGCAGCAGGGACCTGCATGCTATAGCCCAGCTCTGAGACCAGCAACAGGGACCTGCATGCTGCAGCTCATCTCTGAGACCAGCAGCAGGGACCTGCATGCTGCAGCCCAGCTCTCCAGAGCAGGTATGGCTCCACTTTCCAGGATATAGGAACGAGGTGGCAAGGTGAGCAACAACGGGCACCTTTTACTCATGGATAAGGAAAAGTCCAGGAAGGTTTTGTGCTGTGCTGGCCTGTCAGATTGTTCTTGCAACTATACATGCTTAATCCTCTCTGCACATCAACAAATTGGTGCTGAGTGTCCAAAGAACAAAGTCCATGCCTAGGCACTGGGAACATATCTGGTAAAATTTTCACGCCCCAGCTACACCTAGGGGATACTTCCCAGGAGACACAAGCTTTGTGGTCTTACCTATTATAGGTGTAAACTGTTCCTTCCGCTTACTTTAGGCATTTATTTATTTATTTATTTATTTACTCTTATACCACACACTAAAGAAGGAACTGAACCTCCCAGAAGATGGCGAGATAGTTCTGGGATCTAGCAGCACTCAGGGCCCTGTACTGCTGAGCTCTCGGGGTTTTTGTATCCCTACCGCAAGCCGAGCCATGTCCCTATTACAGAGAGCTAGTGGCCCATTGGTAAGTCACTCAGCACACAAAGGAGGGAACCAGCTGGAAGAAGGCCACTCTAGTCCTGGGACAGAAACAGCTTAGCACGGTTCCTGAGACCACAGTGGAGGGGACATGCCTCCTCCCAGCTCGGATGTCCCCTTACTCTGGTCTAATGAGGTACCACAGAGTCCCTGGTGGTTTCCCCAGAGTCCCACTGGCAGTCAAACCTAGGCCACAAACTTGCCCCTGAGCCAATGGTTGCAGGACGGGGCTCCAGGTTGGATGTGAATATCAAAGAGGCATCTTGACTGCTCAGACTCCCAGGCTTCAGGGCCACTCCTTGCCTCTCTCGTTTCTGATCTCTAGTTGCCTCTTAGGACTTGGCAAGGCCTGAAACTCTTGCCTGGGAATGAATTTCTTCATCTGGATTTCTGATGTCGCCTACCTTCACCAAAGACCTTCTCTAAGCATGCTTTGCATACAAGCAGGATCTGGCTGCTCAGGGGCAAGAAGACCTGCCCTACCCACGTCAGCTAGGCTGTCCCTGGCACAGATGTCACACATTCACTACTGGGAAGGTAGTCCCCAGGGCCCACAGTGGGGACAGTGCTTTCAAAGGACACTCCAAGAGCACCCATGAGGCTTTAAGGTTACTTTAAAACTACTGCAATCTTGACTGCAAAACAGACTTCAGGGACTACCCAACAGTGCTTAGCATAGCTGCCGCATGTCAGGAAAGGAACCTGGGCAAGACAACACGAGCGTGGACGATTCTCCAAGGCTGTCTGGAGGGGCTGACTCATGGGTAGTACACACGGAGGAGCACCTAGGACCCTTCAGAGGATACCCAGGAGGGCAGAAGGGAAGCTTGTCTGTCTATCTGTACTCCGGGAATCAAAGGAAACCACACTAAGCATGGATTCCACCGTGGGACATGAAATACCATTTGCACATGGGGTCTCGGAAATCATCTCTAATGATGTATCTGAGAATATTCTCTGTTCTTCTGGTCCCCCGGAATGGTTTCTCTCCACCCACTGGGTCTCACTCACTAGTTTCTGCAGCCACTTATGAAATAACCACTCTGAGATCTAATATAAGTTACTCTTTGGCTTCTTTTGCTCAGGCTTCTTATTAACTAACTCTTACATCTTAAATGAACCCATTTCTATTATTTTATATTTTACCATGAGGCTTGTGGTTTGTTACCTCTTGCTTCTTGGGAGGCTACATGGCATCTGCCTGGCTCCATAGTCTTTCCTCCTCTATCTCTGCTTGGATTTCCCCCCTTGCTCTATCCTGCCCTGTCATAGGCTTCTTTATTAACCAATGGTAATAAAACGTATTCACAGCATACAGAGGGGAACCCCACATCAGTTTTCTATAGCACAATAATAGGTATCTCTGCTGATGCAATAAGTCAGATCAAACCAAGTTGAAAAAGCAAGAGAACAGATATATTTGAACAAAGCAACTCCTAGGTGAATCTTCCAGTCCCAGATATCAGAGCTGGAGAAGTCACGTGACCGAACTAAAGCTGGGAGCTTATATATTCTGCAGGTGAGGGGTGGTGATGTGTCCTCCACAAGCTGGGTTTGTGCCCAAGTATGGTAAAAAGCTGACCACTTTAGGCAGAGTCTTGTATGGCTGGCAACTGCAAAGGAGGAGCTGCTCTAGCCACTAAGGATGCAGAACTGGGCTGCTTGGCACCTTTGTTGGAGATTCTCTGAGAGGGTGGGGTTTGGAGGGAGGAGTGGATCCAGCATGAGTGAGCAGGAGGCTCCAGCTGAACAGTCTCTAGTGCTAATTATTTGTAGAAGCAAAGCACAAAAACGTCCTTAAACCACTGACAAGGACACCCTGGCCTATGCCACCAGTGAAAATGTCAATTGAAAAACAGACCAAGAAGTGTTCAGAGAATATGGGACTACAGGATGTCAACGGAGAATGTGCATAGGAAACAAATGCCTAAAATCACTAAAGTAAAGCTGGGCAGTGGTGGTGCATATCTTTAATCCCAGCACTCGGGAGGCAGAGGCAGGAGGAACTCCTGAGTTTGAGGCCAGCCTGGTCTACAGAGCAAGTTCCAGGACAGCCAGGGCTGTTACACAGAGAAATCCTGTCTTGAAAAACAAAAAAACAAACAAAAAAAAAAACAAACCAAACAAAAAACAAATAAACAAACCAAAAACCCATCTGTAGGCAGAGACTGCTAGTTCATTCCCTGCCACCCAGACCCGAAATAATCACACAGAAACTGCATTAATTACGACACTGTCAATAGCTTAGGCTTATTCTTGGCTAACTCTTGTATCTTAAATTAATCCGTTTTTATTAATATGTGTATCGCCACGTGGTTGTGGCTTACTGGTAAGGTTCCATCCGGCATCTGTCTCCTATGACAGTTACATGGCTTCTCCCAGACTCTGCCTTCTTTTCTCCTCTATCTCTGCTTGGAATTCCCACCTTGCCCTATTCTGTGCTGCAGTAGGCCCAAAGCAGCTTCTTTATTAACCAATGGTATTCACAGCATACAGAGGGGAATCCCACATCACCACAGAGAAACCCTGTCTTGAAAAACCAAAAGCCAAAACCAAACCAAACAAAAAATAAACAAACCAAAATCCCCTCTGTCCCTTCTAATTGTTCTCTGTGTCAACACTCTAAATTAATCTCTATAGTGGCATTTAGCTAACATTTTTTTAAAAAAGATTTATTTACTTTATATACTTTGGGGTTTTGCTTGCATGTCTATCTGTCTAAGGGTGTCAAATCCCCTGGAACTGGAGTTACAGACAGTTGTGAGCTGCCTGTGGTCCTGGGAATTGAACCCTGGTCCTTTGGAAGAACAGCCAGTACCCTTAGCCGTTTGAGCCATCTCTCCAGCCCTAGTTGACATTTCTATGAACAGTGTATGATGGATTCTTCCTCCCTCATCCTAGTTGCTGTTTGTTACTGTTCATTTTACTGATGATAATATTAGGACTGGGGTGGGGTGACTCTCTATGCAGGCCAGGTTTGTATTTTCCAATGGCTAAGGACGTTGAATATTTTTCATGTATTTATTAGCCATTTTATCTCTTCTTTTGAGAACAGTTTTCAATAAATTTGGTCATTTATTGATTTTTTTTGTTTAATTTTTCACTCCTTCCCTATCAGGTGTTTAGTTGCCAAAGATTATTTTTCTATCCTTTACTCTTTATTTTTTCTTTTAGTTATGTGTCTATGTATGCATGTGTATGTGGTTTGAGTATGTGTGTAGGACCTGTGGAGACCAGAAAAGGATATTCAATTCTCTGGATCCAGAGTTAAAGGAGATTGTGGGCCACCTGCCTTGGGTGCTAGGACCTGAACCCTGGTCCTCTGCAAGAGCAGTACGCTTTCTTAACTGTTGAGGCATCTCTCCAGCCTCTTGTTTCCTCCTCTTCTTTTTTTGGTAGTGGTGGTTGAAAAAGTCAGTGGACCCTTATTGCTTCTGGGTGTGGGACCCAGGAGCTCTTGGTCAGACGAGTCCATTTCCTCTTCACCAACACAGGCTTCCGGCTTGGTAGGACAGCACTGCCCTTGCAGACAATGCCATGCACAGATCAGGGCGGTTCTGGTTCTTGCAGATCACGTGTCTGATCTTGCTGAGAGTGGCCCGTGCATTTTTGTTGATGGTGGGCCTCATATAAGAAGAGACTGGTTTTCGCTGACCTCATGACCACCGCATGCCCTTGGCTGTGGGCTCCTCTCCCACGGTCTTCCGGTGAATCAGTCCATTGTAGTGGAAGGAGTTGTGGCCCTTCAGGTAACTGGACTGGCGGTGCTGTAAGTCTGCTTATTCCTCTGGGTCAGGAAACTGGAGCTGTTCGGAATGACGGCCCATTGCAGACATGCCGACATGGCCGAGGCCCCTCTCCCTCAGACATGGCCTAGGTCTCTCCCTATGGCGCCTGGAGATGGAAAGAGGCTTTATTCTTCTTGTTTCCTCTGCTGTGAGGAAGCTTTTTAATCTCATGCAACCTGTTTGTCTATTCTTGGTATTATTTCCCGGGTAGTTTGAGTCCTTTGCAAATGTCCTTTCTTATGATGCTGCCTTGAATGCTTTCTTTTGGTAGTTACAGCTTTTAGTTTCTTACACTAAACTAACCTTGTTTTGAATAAACCTGTGTGATGTGCCTTATCTAGTCTGCCCTCAGGCTATCTCTCCCAGTCGTTCCCCCCCACCCCCTCCAGAGCTGGGCAGCAGGCCCCTTCCCAACTCTGGCTTCCACAGACCTTCCTGGTCTTTTTCCACCAGCATGCTGGTGCTGGCCTGGACCTCACACACTAGAGCCTGCACATTCTGGAGCAGTTCCGCTTCCGTCCTTGTCCTGACTGCCCTAGTGCCTTGCTAAAAGTGCTTTTGACCTCTGGCTTAGTGACCTTGCCCAACCAGCTATTCCTGCTCTCCTTGCTCCTAGACCGCTAGTGGTCATCCATCCTCAAATGTGCTTGCTCTTCAACAGTGACACCACGGATCCTGGACACCTCTCCCCAGGAAGCTGAACAGCTGGCCAGCTTTGTGCGGCCTAAATCTTTGTTCATATGCTGCTAAGAGGACCTGGACCCTGAGGTTGGCTGATGTCAGACACCCTAGGGATCTGTTAAAAACTAAGACCCTTGCAGGAAAGTGGTGGTATACTCCTTTAATCCCATCACTTGGGAGGCAGAGGCAGTCAGATCTCTGTGAGTTTGAGGCCAGCTTAGTCTACAAAGCGAGTTCCAGGACAGCCAGGCTGTTACACAGAGAAACTCTGTCTCAAACAACAACAACAACAAAACAACCAAACACCCCCCCCCCAAAAAAAAACCCACCAAAAAAAAAAAACCCCAAAAACCCAAACCAAACCAACCAACCAACGAAACAAAACAAGTAAAACCCTTCCTTTCCTGACGCCAGCAGCCAACATTCAGGGCTCGGATGTTCTTAGGCGAGGACACCACACCAGGAATCCTATAGTTGGGTGCATGA